ATAAAATAAGTAAAATATAATAGATATATAAGATAAATAAAATAAAATAAATAAAAGAAATATATTGTATAAAAGAAGTATATGCTATAAATGACATAGATGACATAGATAGCATATATGATTTCTTAGGGATCAATGTCATCCTTTAGATCATCATCATCCATGTCTTCTTTCATGTAATAATATTATTATTTAATGGTTTTGATATCTATTTTTTTATTTCAATTATATTTGATCTTTTATAATCATCATAATTAAGGTTGCTGAATAAAACTTAAAGATTTTGCAAGTTGTTTAAATAGAAATAGATAAAATTAGTAAAATTATATTAAAACTTTATTAAAAAATCTGTGAAATTCTAGAAAAGATAAAATTAGATCAAAGCTTATAAAAATGTGAAACTATATCAAAATCTTAGTATAAGTTAGCAAAACTAAAGTTTAAATATTTTATTAAATTTAAAATAACTTTAAATAAGCAACTTTAATTATAATAAATATTTTTTTAACATGAAACTCCTATCCAAAATATTTTAATTAAATATAAATTATATTTTTTGAAATTTTTTTATTTCAATTCATATATTCAAAAATATTATTATTAAATATAAATTTTAAATCTATTTACTATCATATTATAACTAATACTTTAAAAATTCTGTAATTATTTGATAAATATCTTTATTATCTAATACTTTTACATTATTAACATTAAAAATTTGTTCTATAAAAATGATTTACAAAAAATCATTAGATTTGATTTTATACAGATCAGATTAAGAAAGATCTTGAATATTAAAAATTAAACTGATTCATCTACTTTGTAAAATTCACCTAATTCATTTAATTTATTTGATTAGCTTATTTTCTTTACATATTTATTATTTTTGTTATAATTATTATTTTTATTATTTCTTTATTTATCTTATATTTTATATCTTTATTTTATTTTTTATTATTATTTTATAGCTAAAATTTACTAAAATTATTAGTTTATAGCATTATAGAAAGTTAACTGTAGTAAATTAATTTTGTATTAATAAAATAATTTTTGCTTAAGTTGTAAATTAATTCTTTTATAAATATAAGTTTTATTATTATAAATAAAGAAATCAATTCAAATCTACATAAATTACTTTTTCCTTCAATGTTGTCCTTCATCTAAGATTTATTACAATATCTTATACTAATTTGTTTTTGAGTTTATCATTACAAGTTTGATTAAATATATCTTAAATTCCTAACGTAATAAATTGCTGAGTTGATTCAAGTATAACAGATACCTGTAGAACTTAAAGAAAATCAATTCTAAGATCGAAAACTTTAATATGTAGACTTCAACATATAGAATTAATTTCCATAATCTTTTAACTTAGATATTAAGATAACTGAAAATAAATCCAATAATAACATATTAATATTAGAATTTGATGATAAACAATAAAATTTTAGATTTATAATCTAATTAGCTGAGTTTATTAATCTCTTTTTTTTTAATACTAATTGCAAAATTTTTATTTGTATTTATACTTTAAAACCTTTTAATCATAAGTTATATATTATATTATAAATTGTAATTAGTTTTAACTTACAAATCTAAAAATTTATTAGTAATTAACCTTTTTATATTCTTTAATACTAATTCAAAATCTTCTTATATTTGATTCTTTTTAAGTTATTTTAACTTATCCATAAGTTTTTTTATAGATTGATACAATATCTATTGATATAACTAAAATATGAGAAAAAAGATTTTAAGTTTGAAAATTCTAGCTGCTACAATTTTATTAGCTGAGTTTTGTATTTTTGTATTCTTTCTGAATTTTTAATATAGATTAATAGTTGATTATTAATGGATCTTTTGTATTTTTAATCATAATATTAAAAACAGTTTGTAAAATTTGATTTAAATCATCTTCAAATTTATTATCATACCAATTATTATCAGAATCATGATAATCTGACAATTCATTATCATCATTATTATTTATAATTATTAACTAAGCTTCATTAGTTGCATTTCTTGCTTTAATGTTTTGAGCAACTACAAGTTGAACCTTTTGTTTCTTTAGTATTATTTTTAATTTATAATGATAATCTGCAAAATGCTAATTGTTAAACTAATTTGATAAAATATTCTCATACTAAATTCAATCTAAATTCTTTTAATTCTGACCAGTTTGTAATTTTAGAACTGGCCAATTCTATATCAAACTTAATAAAGTTACTAAAATTTAAACTTATATAACTCATGCTATAATACTTTGACTAGAAAATCTCTTTTGTTATATGAAAGAATATTGTTTAAACTATAATTTTACAGAAAAAATTTATATACATTGCCCTACAATAAATTACCAGATTTTATAAATTTTACTTAATAATTTATAGTAAAATTGAAGATCTTCAAGTTGTATAAATGTTTACTAATTTTCAATAAAAATCATCTGATTTTTTTTTATTTAATAGCTGATCAATTATAGTTTTTGCTTATATTTCAAAATAAAAAAAGTTTTTCATGTTTTAAAAATTTTCTTTTTTCATTTTAATATCTAACTATTATTTTATATGTTGTTTGCATTTTTTATATATAAAATTATTTTATTTATTACTTTAAAAATGAGTATTTTTTGGCATTTTATAAATAAAATATTTTTGAATTATATTTTTAAAATTATAATTGATTGGCTATTAAATAAAAAAATATCTAATATGTATTTTATTAAAAATTCATAAACTTTTATATAATATAAAAATCTTCAATTTTACTATATATTACTAAGTAAAATTTATAAAATCCGGTAATTTATAGCAGGGCAATGTAAATATTAATTAATTTTTTTTCTATTCATTCGAAATCATATGATAAAATGATAAAAAGTGGTGGCATGCACCATAAAAATTATATGTCACCCGTATGTTTCACATAGTGTACAAACACCCCGTGTACAAATATGTGTGATACTCATTTGATTCACTCATTTTTGTATCACTCGTGTACAGATAGCAATTCGCTACACTATAAACAGTTATTTAATTTTTATTAATCTATTTAAAAATGGATTTGAATTCATTATTTAATGTTAAAGATAAAATTGTATTGGTTACAGGAGGATCCAGAGGGTAATTTATTAAATATAAATTGATTATTTTTCATTTAAATTTCTAATTTCTTTTTTTCTTTTAAATAGGATCGGACTTATGATAGCAACAGGATTTATAGCTAATGGAGCAAAAGTTTATATTTCTTCAAGAAGCAAGGATACTTGTGATAAGGTTGCTAAAGAATTATCTGATAAAGGTAAAGTTTTAATAAGATTGAATAAATTATTGAAATTTACATGTTAATTCTTTGAAATTTGTATCAGGGCCAGGAAAAGCTGTTAGTATACCGGCAAATTTACAACATTTAAATGAAGTCAAACGATTAGCTAATGAAGTTAAAGAACGTGAAGGAAGTAAGTTCGATGATTTTTATTACAATACAAATAGAAAATTTAATTTATATAAATAAATATTAATTTAAATAGAGCTACACATATTAATTAATAATGCTGGTGCGACTTGGGGTGCTCCTATTTCTTCTTATCCGGACGAGGCCTTTGAGGTTATTATTAGTTATAAATATCCCTCAAATAAAGCTAATTAATAGCTAATATTTACTATTATATTATTAAATAATAGAAAATTATGAATTTGAACGTTAAAAGAATTTTTAGTTTAACACAAGGGTAAGTTGTTTATATATTTATATTTATATTTATATATATATTTTTTTGATATTTTTAAAAAACAATATGTATATGTATATCCTTTTTCTATTTAGATGTTTACCATTACTTGAGAAAGCTGCATCTCCAAAAGATCCGGCATGAGTAATTATTATTGGATCAATTGCCGGTTTGATAACACCATTTAACGAAGCATATGCATATACAACTTCCAAAGCAGCTTTACATCATTTAACAAAAGTAATGGCGGGACAATTATCAAATCGTCAAATTACATTTAATAATATTGCACCTGGACCTTATCAATCAAAAATGTCGGCTAAAATATTGAAAGATCATGGCGAAATAATTAGTTCGGAAGTACCTTTAGGTAGAATTGGAGCAGCTGAAGATATTGCCGGTACCGCGATTTATTTATCCAGTAAGGCTGGCGCTTTTACTAATGGTGCTACTATTACAGTTGATGGCGGTATGATTACTAAACCCTATAGTTCCAAATTATAATTTAAATCCATAAAATTATCGCAATAAAAATATTTAAACTTCAATTCTACTAGGATAAAGAGGTGATGGGGAAAATGAATCATCATTTTTGTTTCGTTTGGGTCATCCTTTGAACAAAAAACATATTTAGAAACTTGTCCAATATTACATGTTGCCAAAGCATCAATGATAAATGTAACCAATTCACACCAAAGAGGAATTAATGATGTGAAATTAACCAATACTTTGCCTCCAACTTCTTTACTAAGTAATTTCGTTTATTTATAGATCTTAAAGCATATCGGGAATTTGATCTTACGCATGATTATCATTGCTAATTCCTTCGCTATTCCTGCAATTGAGCTTTTATCTCCATCTGAGCGAAACACCAATAAATTGATGTCCGGACTGCATATCTAATCCAGCTAATGAAGCAATTGATTTCACCATATGTAATTGAATTGCTATCAAGACGTCGGTTTTTAATCCCTAGAAACTTTTATAATAATTGCTGATGATGATAATGAATTATAAAATATAGATACCTATGAAACCTGTATTTGTTGAACAAACTGATGTAAAATATAATTGTCCCTATTTGAATAGATCTTATAGAAACGAACTCACATTAGTTATTCTTTCCTAAAATAATATTTTCTCTATTTACATTTGTTTATCCGCTGTTGTAGAGAATTATGGCTGTTCCTCTATATTTGGAAACGAGATTTGTGAAATTTTTTCATATCTCAAAGGATTGAAATTTATTGCGTGGCAATCTTTTTTAATTTTTTTATTGTTAAACTATCAATGGATATATCTTCAAGAAATTTATCGGCCGGTAATTTGACATGACTTTTCCCATATTGGCGACATATCTATTTTATCTTCTTCTATGACCATAATAAAACATTAGACAGAAAAATTAAAAAAAACTACACAGAGATTTGTAAAAGCAAAACTTTTGAGGAGGCTCATATATTAAGATTATGATGTAATATTAAATAAAGTTATCCGGTAAGTATTTAACTACTTTATTATTAATTTTTATTGAGATTCATAGAGTTATACATTATTTTATATCTGTATTAATCCATATGAATTTTTTTCCTTCAATAATATTCAAGATGTAATTTAGATATAAAATAAAGTATAAATGATATAGATGAGTATGAAAGGTTGTATATTATCAAAAAAATCAAGGTTAAATATAATGTCTTTATTAATTATAATCTTAATTAGAAAGTAAAATCAATCCTTTTAAAGAATTATTTAAATTTTCTTAAGAATATTTTAGCTTATCTGATGATATAATATAATAAATAATAATAAAATAAAAATAAAGATGATAAAATAAAGATAATGTAATTAATAAAGCAAAAGAAATAAAGATAATAAAGATAATAAATAAAGAATAATGATAAAATGAATTTATTGATAGTAATAAATACATTATAGATTCTTTTGGTAAATAATTAAATAAATTTAAATAGAAAAAACTTTAATATAATTAATTTATCAAAATAATAAAAAATAGTATTATATCTTATTATTTTAATAAATTTAAATATATTATAGATCAAAATAATTAAATATTAATAAATTTAAAAAAGATTAATAATAATATTTTATGTTATAAATATTATTAATAAATATATTTTTATATTTTAATAATCAATTATATAAAAATAATTTTTTGAATAAATTTTTTAAAGTTTATAAATTATATAATTTATTTTCTTATACTAATAAAAATCTAGCAAATACATATAATAAAAATTGTTTAAAATAAACATTTTATTTAATTAGCAAAAAAATATTCACAAAATTAGATTTTTATTTATTAATACTTGAAAATAGTATTTATATTTTTATTAAATTTATTAAATAGATAATTTTTTTAATTGATTATTAGTATAGATTATATTAATATTTCTATTTATATATATAAAATTCTAATTAAATTCTTTAAATTTATAAATAATATTAAAAATAATTTTTTAATTTTTTATACAAATAAATCAAAAAAAATTTATAATAAATAAATAAATTTATTTATAAATTTTACAATTTAAAGATAAATTAACTTGATCAATATATTATTTATTTATTATTTAAATGTATAAATATTATTTGTAAATAAATATAAAATTTAATAAATTATTCAAAAGAATAGCTAAAATAATTAATTCTACTTAACAAAAATTATAAATTTAAGAAATTCTTTTAATTCTATAGATATTTGAGAATTTTAAATCAACTTAGCAATTTATATGTCTTAAAATTAAGATTTATTTAATCAAATTCAATAACAAACTAAAAATAAATTAATATAATACCATAAACAAATTCTAAATAAAAAACAATATTAAAAGAAAAATTATTTATATAGATATTAATTAATTTCTTTATTTATTTTTTAAAAAATTAATTACAATTTAAATAAAAGTATTTTATTATACAAAATTAAATTACTTTCTTTGTTATATTATAAACTAACTAAATTTATAAACTTTAAATAATATATAATAATAAAATAATAAAAATATTATAGATAATAAAAAAAAAATTAACTATTATAACAAGAGTAATAAATAAATATAGTTTCTTAAAGAATTAAGAATTAGATAAATTTAATAAATTAGATAAATTCTCTTTTACAAAATACTGATAATATCTTAATTTAATAAATAATAATATTTTAAAAGATTTTTACATTTTTGTAAATTAAATATTATTTTTTAAATACTAATTATAAAGATACTATTTTTTTAAAATCATAAATTAATTTTATCTTCTCAAATTAATAATATCAAAAATGATTTTATTTTAAACTTCTTAATAAATTTTTTCTATTATTAGATGCAATTATTATTCTTAATTATCTCTTTTAAATAACTATTATAATAAACTATTCTATAAAATTAATGGATTAAAGAAAATTAAAAACATAAAAATATTAATTTTTATTTTATCATAACAATTATATAATAAATATAAAAACAAAAATATTCTATTATTAATAATAAGAATATTTGAATATAGGACTTTTAGTTAGACAATATCTTAGTAATATATTTTAAAAATCAATTTATTTTATATTATCTGAAATATTAAAATAAAATTTCTTTATATCTCAAAGTTTTATATATTATATAGTTACAAATTATGATGAAATAATACTTTAAAGTTAGAGCGTCATAAAACTTGGTAATTTTTTATTACTTAAAAATTTACTATTAATAAAAGTTACTCAATATTTATTCAATTATATTAAAAATTAATACATTGTAATTTTAAGATAAAATGAAGTTATGTATAAAATTTCAGTATATATTATTATGTAAATTATTTTAATTAGCTAAAAAATGATTTTACAAAAAGTGATTCAGCATCATGCTGATCATTATAGTAAAATCATTTTTCTATGCTGATCTTTGATATGACCGCTGACTGTTATAGTAATAAACATTTTTAATATAAATTAGTAATATAGTATAATTAATATATAAAATAATTAATAAAAATAAAAAATCTTTCTTAGTTTCAAAAAATATGTTTAGATGCAAGTGTTTAATTAAATATTATATAATAAAATAATCTAATTTTATCATAAGTAAATACATTACTTGATTATATTTAAAAATTAATTTTTGTAATTCTACTTATAATTCTAATAATATAGAATAAAAAATACTATTTACTTTTCTATACATCTATTATTTGCTTAAGTTATTTCTATTTTAAATCTATCAAGCTATCATTTAAAAATTTAATCATATAATTTAGGTTTTTTAAAAATTCTTTTATTTTTTCTTATAAATATTATCTAATAAAATCATAATTTTTAATAATACTTATTTTATTCAAATAAAAAGTACTTATTTAAATAATAGATATTTTACTTTAAGATGTTTGTAAATTAAAACTAAAATATTTACAATAGAAATTATTATTTTTTTTCTTTTAAAATTTTACTAATAGTTGGTCTTTTAATATTAAGATTATATAACTAGTTAAAATATATTACAAAATCTATATAGGATATATACAGTTTTTTGGTTTGATAATTACAAATTTCATATTTTACTTTATCAATTATTATAGCTTTTTTAAGTTTTTAATAAAAAAATAAGTTTTCTTTGAAAAATAAAAATTTTGTTTTTTCTAAATTTAAATTTTGTGATTTAAGCTTTCCTGTGATACTTTTATTGTATTATTATTGTTATTGTTATTGTTATATTATAAAGATTATAAAGAAAATAATAAAATAGATATACAGTCAAAACTCAATATAATGATCTGCAATAAACTGATTTAGCCTATAATGAACTTTATTCTTAAACTAAAACTACTTATAATAAAATTTATCATTATATAGCAATTTTATTATAAATTTTGTGATATTGCATATATTGAACTCTGATTGTAAACCAGTTATAATTATTTATTTGTGATAACTGATAATACAATTTTTTTTTCGTTATACTGATAGTTATTATAAAAAATGTGATTTTTTTCTTGATTTAATAATTGATCGTTATCATTATAAAATTTTACTTTAATATATCAAAATTATACTATAGTAAATATTAAATGTTAAATAAATTAATATAAATATAAATTAGAAGATTTTATTTTTTTTATTAATTATGTCTTCTGAAATAAAAGTAATACATTATCTATGGGACAAAAGCAAAAACTTTGTCTCAAAAAAAATAAACAATCAGAATCTTCAATCTAATTATATAAATGAGTTTATTAGTTTTAATTAGATTTTTTTTTTGTTCTTAAATTTTATAAATAAGAAATAGTATAACATATAACGTGTAAATAATAAATAATAAATAAATAATAACTATATTGCATTTATTGCAAAAATTTAATATAATGAACTTTTATTTATTATTATTATTTAAATTGATATATCAAGAAAAATTCATTATTCTGAATTCTCATTATAATGAATTAAAATCATTAAATCAAAAGATTCGTTAATATTAAGTTCTGACTATAGTATTTAT